AAAAAAAAACTTTGTTATTAAAAAATGATTAGCACAAATATTTTAAATGTGTTTTGTAATTTAATTACTAGATGAAACAAAAGGCACATATACTTCTTTTCACTCATAAATAATTTTTGTTAAATTTGAAATAAGCATACTTTAGTTCAGAAGATAAAAACTAAGACCATTTATTTACAATGATGTTGAATTATAGTAACAAAGTATATAATATTTATTAAAATTTATTGAACTATTTAAAGACAAGTTGTAACCTCTATCGAGATTAAAATATATTTTTATGATATGAACATAATTCATTTTACTGTACACACTATGATTCAATTCGAGTTATAAATTCAGAAAACTAACCATAATCCTTATAACATATCCCCTTCACATATACGAAAAACCGTAAGAATACATTTCAAAAAAAATAGTAATTATCTATGAGTGGTTACTTACTTTTTAAACGATCTCAAACTGTTATATATAGGTATATGTAGAACTTATTAAAAATCTCTGAACCCTAAATTTTACATTAAATATGAGATCTAGTAACACAAACTGTATGAACATATATGTAGCGTAGTGTAAACAGTTCCTAGGCAATTACAGCACATAGAAAAACGTAATTGTGCCGTGTTAAACAATATTTTTTGACATTTGTTCTCTGTGACATCACATAAAAATGTTTTTTTTAAGTTATTAAAAAAACATCAATTTAACAAGGTTTTATTTTTTTATTCTAATATTTTAATTTTTTATATATATTAAAATATTTACAAAAACGTAAGTACCAACATATGAAAGTTGGATGTTATGAACATATGTTGATTTTTGAGCAGTTATTGATATAGTAAATATTTTGTTTATTTTCTATTTTAATAATATTTATTGATTGCTACAACTAGAAATTGCTGCAATAGAATGTCAGAATGTCAACTTATGTGTAATTTTTAGAGCGCAACACTTAGCAAATTCTATTTATTTTCTATTCGTACCAGAAATCTTTTATTATTTGAAGCAATTATTACATTAAATAAAAAATACGTTCAGGATTTTTATTTTACAAAATAAAACAATTTATTTGATGTTATTCGATAAATGCAAAAATATAATTATTTATTGAAAAGAAACGTTAAGTACTTTTTATTTTTTATGTCGTAACGTACTCTTTAGACCACATAATAAAAATGTTTAGTAATTTTATAAAAATCCGTTATTAGATTTGAGAAAATTTTAATTATATATTTAAATATATTAAATCATAATAATAAATATATCGCGAAAAGTAAAAACACATCTGACACGATATTAAATTTTTTGATTTTTTTTATTATTCACTTTATACATTTTCTTTTTTTATTTACATATATGCTGGTTTAAGCAATAATTTCTTTTTATAAATTTTAACATCGTAATATTTCATAGTCTCGATTTAGTTTATAAATTTATGAAAAAATATGCTGAAATTAATGTATAATCTTTATAAAGATTTTGAATTCAAAATTGTAATTAACAACAAAAAAACGGCAACACTGTTTTTAAAAATAAAAACAAATTTTTGCATTGTAAACAAATGAAATGGCAACACTTCAAGACAAACCATACACAACACAAAAAAAAGGTGGGAAAATTTCTCAAATCATACATTTTGTATGTAATCGCAAACGACAAAATATTATCAAAATAATTGTGAATACGTACTTCTCTTTATTATAATCCAATTTAAAATTTCAATTGTGTTTATCTGCTCGCTACCTCCTTTTTTCTTACAGCTGCTTTTTCAAAATATATTCCAAATTTTATTTTATATATATTTGTTGTTGTTGTTGTTGTTGTTATTTTAGGGAAGACATCCTTTATTGAAACCAATAAAATTTTTTGTTAAAATTAATTTCTTTTTTCGTAATATTCATTTAATATATTGTAGAATTATGTTACGCTTTTTCTTTTTTTTGCTATACACTTAAAAATATACCATACATTTTAATAGCAAACATTTTTTCACTATTTTACACATTATTCTTTATATTTATTTAAGCAATCTTTCTATGCTGGCAAAAACGTGATTTTCAGCTAATTTTTTTTAATTTTGCCAGCTACACCAAGAAAAATTGCTTTATTTCTTCTTTACACATATATTCCTTCCTTCACACACTTTTTTACTTTACTAATTTATTTTTCTTTATACATTTTAATCTTTTGCAGACAAAGGCAATTTGTATTCTGATCAAATTATTGTAATTTTTCCAAATTCTTTCACTTTAACCACTTTAAGCTTGTTGTATAATATATATACATACAGGCACACATATTTATGATATATAGCAATACATAGCCACACATATAAATATACTTAATTTAAAGTATTTTAAACTTTAATGCTTCTTTATACCTTCAAAAGTAAACTTCTCTTATATTTCTACACAACTTTATTTAATTGTTGTAGATCCAAGCAAACAATATATTGATAGACCTCTCAAATCCGCTGGTGTTTGTTTTAATCATACACTTTTAACATGATAACTATGCACCCCCCTATCAAACGTCTTGTTCGTTTCAGACTAAAGAAGAGACTAAATAAAATGGAGGAAGTTCATTTTCATTCATTCATACTTGCTTCGAACAGGATTACACGTTTTCTGAATATTACACAAAATTTAGAGTTCAAATCCAAAAACTCATAAATAAATATGGTTATAGATATCAAATACACATTAAAAGAATTTGATAAAATACTTTATACATTATTTTTTATTTATTTTTTATTTTTATTTAAATTAAAAAGCAATCACAAGCTGTTTATAGAAATTTTGTAAGAAAATAAGCATAAGTGTTATAACCTGTTACACTGTGTAGTTCAATGAAAGCGACAACCTTCCAATAAGATAAAATAGTTCAAATATTCATTCTTTAATACAAGTTGGCATTACTGATGAGCGGCCATCTTCGTTTTTTTGAATATGGGTAGAGTTGTCAAGTCAAGATAATTATTTTTAAATTAAATCTCGTAAAAGTTTTACAATCATGTATCCGATAACATACTGTTGTTGATATATTACAAGAGCGTAATTTTTTATAATACATCAACTCTAATAATATGAGTATATGCCTAATGAATAAACATCTCGCACAATAATGATACGAAATCTTAAAACTGATTGTGAATTATTTTTTGAAGTAAATTGAAAACTGCAGTCAACAGTTTATTATTTACAACTGTTGAGAGTGTTAATGAGTAAATTTGAATATATTAAATAAGTATTTTTTTTAATAAAACTTGTGAAAATGACTGACAGGTTAGTAATTGTGAAGAAGTTAATTATTTATTCAGGAAATTTTATATCTGTGTATATATGTGTATATTTTATAAAAAAACTTCTTTATAAAATACAACCGCAATTTTGTTTGAAATTTTCTTGCTTGTTAAACAACCAAAAGTTCTTCTATAATTTAAGTTAATACGTTGTGAATATTTATTTAATTTAGTTAAGTGAAATTGTATTTGATACTTTCAATGACACATATATTATTTTGCTTTATAAAGTGTGATTAATTAAATTGTAAAAAATCACATATAATACGAGTGGAATAATTAATATTATAATTTGTTAGCGAATAAACTTTTTCATCATACTTCGAATTTTTTAAAAGAATTAGTAAACCTGGCCAATCACTTCGCCATTCATGTAGTTCATATAATTTTATTTCATTACATGAACGATTTAAAGATCATTTAAAAATTTGTGTTATTGGTACTAATGTGTCGTTATTGACGCATAATGTTTTATGAAATAAAAAATTGACTCTTTTAATAAAATTTAATCAAAATAAAAACGAAAGAATTTGTTTTTTAATTTTTGAGTCGATATAAATCAAATAATAGAGTTTCTCATAATGTATATCATCATACATATTTTGTTTGACATATCTTTACTACTTTGATACTTAAAGTAAATTCCATATGTAATCTAAAAATTTTTAAATAAATAAATATTTCACTGTGTTATACTGAATTTTTTCGCTTCAGTTTTAACTAAGTGTAAGTAGAAGCAATTTTTAAAGTAATTCATTGAAGAAATTCAATGAATTCAAATTTACTTAAATAATATATAAAAATTAAAAGAAGTATTAAAATTTGTATGAAAAACAAAACTGGAGAAATCAATTATGGTCTGTTCAAACATAATAAGGATCTTCATTGAGAGGTAAATTTGTAAAATATTTGGAATCTATTCTAAATGAGGCATTTTATGTTTTTGATTTATATATGGGCTGTTCATAAATATTTGCTTAAAGTTTTTTCTATAAATATTAAAATTTATATCATACTGTAAATAGTTTTAGGAAAATATCGTGATCCTTTGACTGTTGTTGTGTCATTAGTTTTATACATTTTTAAAAGTAAATGTGAAATTTTCATTATTTTATTTGTTCATATTGTTCATTTCTGCGGTGTAAAAATTAAATTAAGTAAATTTAAGTTTATTAATTTTATATTTAATAAATGAGGTCACTTTATTATTTTATTTCATTTTCATATTAATTAGTTTTTGTATACAAAAAACTTGTTTTCGTAATGATAACGAATTTTTGCAAATGCAATATAATATTTAAAAAATATTAATGTTAAAAAGTGATTTTATATGTATAATTATATTGTATATTATAGTGTAGTGTAAATTATAAGTGTAATTTATTATATTTATATTTTATATATAACTATTAGATATGAACTCAACAGCAATCAGTCCAAAAATGTTTATATATTTAATTAAGAACCGTTTAAATAGTGTTCTTCTTATTATTAGTTCCGTTAACTCCTCGTGAAGCATAGAGCCTCAAATGGGACCGTTTCAATAGTATACGCATTTAACTTTCTACATATATGTTATTTGTATCGAATAATATTATATTGTGTATTGTTCGTATTGTGTAGTCTTTCCAAAATGCAACCCTGCATCATTCATTGTACTTTGTTTTTTTATTTTGCGGTTATGCTATATTATTTTTTCAGTACTGCTTTGACTGCTGTAACAAAAAGTAGAAGGTTTTTGGCGTATGTGTTTTATATGAAACGAATTGAAAAGTCGAGGAAATTGTAAAAATTATTATAAATATAAATTCGTTTACCTTTTTTAATAGTAAGTGGAAATTACATAAAATAAGTGCTTATTGAAATTCACAATAGCGAGCATATAAATTAATTTAAAAATATAAATTTCATATGTTACTTCACATACAAAAGAAAATTAAATTTATTTGAGAAGAAAAATTTTCTATTCTGCGCGTAACACAAAAGGAAAAAAGGGGAGGAAAAGTGAAAAGACGAAAAATATTTCTTTCTCTCATATATGCTTTGTTGATTTGTGCTTATAAGTAAAATAAAGCAAACAGTGAAATTCATTTAATACATATTAATATTGAAAAATATTCATTTAAATAATATTATTTTAGTGCAACAAAAACGACTATAGGAACGCATAATTGGTTCCTTGTTCGAAACATATAAACGGCGTTAAAAAAGAGTAAAGGTAAGCAAGCAATAAGTTAATGTTTACCAGTGTCATAAAATAAAATATTAATAAAAATAAACGTGTGTGTATATGTTTGTTGTATGCTTAAAGGGCGTATTGCTCGATCAAAGAATAATACTCGTAAATATTGCCTCCGCTGTAATAGTTGAGCGCAATGTTGTGCCACTCAAGCAAAACGGATGCAGTTAAGTGGACCGTTTTATTATTTTTTTAAATATTTATTTCAATTTTTATTATGTATGCTTCATGTGTGCAAAGCTGCAATCATATATTTTAACATAAAAAATAAGTATTTTTATAAATACAATAAAAGCACAAATACAATGACGATGTTAATATCAACAATCTACACTGCACTGCAGCCGTAAGACGATTTTCCACTTTTTTGCTCTGACGTGCTTCCATGTGAATGTGTACAAGTGACTTTAATTGACTGCTTTTTCCATGTAAAGTTAACTGCTGTCACTTTTCTTGATTAACAATAAAAAGTTAAAAATTCTGCACTCTTCTGAGTGCCGAGTGCCAATTGCATACCCCGTACAGGATGTCTCAAAAAAACTTGAACGCCAATTAACTCACTTGATTAATAATTACTTTTTTATAATTTTATCATCTACAGTGTAATTTATTTAATTATTCATTTAAATAATACTATGATTTTAATCGCCCCGTCAGTTTTCTATGTATATTAAACAGAGAAATGAACTCTGATTCATTGAGGTGTTGTCTGTATTATTTAAGTTATTTGATATTCAAACGATTTAGCGAATATGAATATCTGGAATATCAAATATTTCGAATACTAAAAACAGAAATAAATCAATCATAAAAATAAAAATTATATTGCTCCAAGCTTACAAACCATGTGAGAATTATAACTTATTTAATCTTAAGATTACTTAAACTATATAAGGCACAGTTATAGTTTGCTAGGCATCTAAAAGCGTTTTCTTTTATTTTCTATAATACAAAACTAAATTCAAATAAAAAAAAAACATTTCAATGATGAAGTGCATTCGGTAATATCACTAATGCGTGATACACTGCAATGCATATATTACACTTTACACTGCAATGCATATATTACTGTAAACGATAGTCACAGTTGACACCGGTCACTGATTTACTACTGAGGTGGTTAATATCGGTAATAACCAATCTTAGAAGAGATAAGGCTAATTTGATCTTAAGATATAAACCAGTCTAATTTTTATAAGAAAACTCGATAAGTTCTATTGAGATATGTTATAGAAACGTATTTTATAACAACAAATTTAAGTTACAGCTTCTACAATAGGCAGTATATATAAGAGTATAAAAGATCGGAAATTATTACTGTTATCTGCAGATTCTGTGAAATGCAGAGTGAAATATCCAACTGTCTTATATCCTCGTGCCCTCTGAATCTCAGAAAACATATCTAGTAGTTTCATTTGGCTTTCATTGAACCGAATGAAATAAAATCTCTTTATTTACGAGGTATCGCATAGCCAATAGATGTTAAAAAAAGTAATAGAACAAACTCCTATTAACAATGCAACATTTCCAAAGAAAATATCTCAGATTTCTAAATATGCCCCAATAGCTCTTTAATAAATTATCAACTCTCAAACTTTATATACAACATATAAAATATCTTCCAGCTGTTAGTAACCTAGTCATTTTTATGTCTTTTATTGGTGTCTTCTTCATCCTAATCCCTATAGTTTCTTCAGTATGCATAATAACCATTTTCTGTGGACTGATGGGATCACTTATTTGAATTGATATTTCATCTATTTGCATCAAAAGAAGTCTCCGTGACTTTGTAGCTGTCATTTTAGCGAGAGGACAAAAATGTGGGTGTAATTATAATTTACCGAAATAAGTTTAATTCCTCACACCCAGAAGTTAATTGCAACGACATATTTTATTATTTTTTCCGTATATGCTTTTTGCATAAAGAATAGCTTTTAAATAATTAAGTTGGACGCTCTGTTGGTGTAGAATAGCATCTTATATGTATAATATGACAATATCTGATACCACAATACAGATATAAGTGGTTTTATAAAAAAAAATTATTAAAATTAAATTTAACTTGTTTATTTTATATTTAAATACATCACAAATTCACAAATTCAAACAATAAACAAAGAAGAAATCGATGTAGACCAGTGTTAATACTGTTAATACTTAATATATTGATAACGACCCTTTCTTTGTTGTTGGGACTTATAAATCATTAAGAACCCATTTATGTCGTTTATAGCGTGCAAAAGATTTATTCGATGTAAAAATTTTGGGGTTTGTTTTGTTTTTATCGCTCTTCTGGTTTCTGTTGTCGTTGTTTCTGTTCATTGTTTTTAAATGAATCTTACATATACATATATATATATATACAATATATGCATATACTATATTACTAAATTGTTTGTTTTCATTACTAATTCGACTCAGGCTCTGAATTCGTTGTACGATGTGTCATGCATTGTTTTTATCTCAATTTCCTATTAATTTCATTAGTCAATCAAATATATTTTTTAATAAAACGTAAATATATGTATATATTAATTTTAATTTAATGAATTATTTTACTCGTTACATTGAAAAATATTGATTTCTTAATTTTGTGATTAATTCTTACAAAGTTTTGAACTCCGTCCGGAAACACTGAAAATTAAGACATATTTTTGCTTATAAAAAAACGCGGAAAAATCTTATCACTTGAGCAATTTCTTCTTGTAATATATATAAAATAAAATGATTCAGGTTGTTGCCATCTAGAGATTGCTTCCCTTGCTTAACTCTATTTGCCTTATAGATAACCTTAGCAAAAATGCTTTCTAAAGCAACTACTGATTAGATTCCGATTTTAATAGCTACTAATTTTTGAGTAATTAAATTTTTATGAAGTTATTTGTTGATTGTAGAAAATATTTATAATTAACTTTTTATTACAGAACATTTTTAAAATATTCAAACCAATACTCGTAATTTTTATTTTTGTATTTAAATATTTTTGTTAACGCATTGTGAACCAAAACATAAATGGTTCAAGAAAATTTCCTTTAAAGGCAGAAAAAGTTTGAAAATCTTTTAAAAGTACTCAACATATGTTAACAATAGAATATTCTCATAAATATATATTTATTTTCCATTTAAAAATATTTTAACATTATAGGCACATTACGTAGGCACACTTTAGCTGTACGTATCTTACGTATCAAACGGGTATATATCTGAGTATCTATCTATGTATCAATTGTTATATGTACTCTAGGTTTTAATATTTTAACCATAAACTATTGTTGATGGAGAAAAAACAAATGTTGCCTCTGAAGTGCTTTATTTTTATTTTTATTTTTTTTTTTGTTTGTTAGTAGTTACCACTGTCTGCCTGTCATGTTATTAAACCATAAAAAATTTATTTTATATTACCAACCAGAATTTGTGCTTTAATTTTTGGTTTGTTGCTACATAAAAATATTTTGGTTTTAGATGGTTCGAGTTTATACTACGAATTTAAGGTTGAGAAATAAAATTGTATATATTGAGTTTTTTAGGCATTGGGGATACATTGAAATTCAATTTTTAATCTAAAGATAGTTTTTGCACTAAATTCTATATAAAACTATACTATAATAGCAGTTTTGTACAAAAATTAATTGAAAGTATTGTAATGAACTTTGATAGAGTATATCTAAATAGTATTATGCATAGATAGATACATTTCTAAAAGTAACTAAAGTAATAGTTTTATCTGAAGATATAATTTGTATTTTTTCACTCGCTTTTTCACTACATCTTTGCTTTCTCATCATCATCAGCGTTACAGCTCGGGGTGAGTTTTAGCTGCATTAACCATCTTTCTTCATTCTGCTGTTCCTTTAAACTTCCAATTTTGGATATCCATTTTTCTGATGTCGTCGAACCACCTTATACGTGGCCTACCTCTGCTGCGGTCGTTATACGGTGTGAAATGGAGTATTCGCTTTTGTGGTCTATCATCGGGCATTCTCATGACTTGTCCGATCCATCTCAAGCACTGTTTATTTTATATTTTCCTATATCTTTACTATCTTATTATATGGTTGTAAAAAAATGAATCAAAAGTATTAAAATAGTATCTCAAGTAGACAGACACATTTTAAAAAGTAATTATTTAAAGTAAAACCAACTAACTTTTATTAGATTCAGTTGCTAGATAATTTGAATGTTATGTTATGCCTATTCTCAATTTTTTATTATCTTTCTGCATAAGTCCTTATATATTCCTGTATTATATGTTTGAGAATAAATAAATAAAAAGTATTGAATTGAACTTTGATAAAGTATGTCAGAACAGTGCTATACATAGAGAGAAAGAAAGAGAGACAAATATTTAAAGTAGAATGGACTAACTTTTATCTCTAAGACTCCAGATAATTGGAATTAATTTTTTTTTATTTTCACGATTTTAACATCTTTCTGTACTTTATGTTTACTTTCTCATTATATGGTTCTTATTTGTTTTATGTTTTCGTTTTTCATTTATCTTTCGTTCCTCAGTCACTTTTTACTTCCTTTTACTTCCAAAAGATTTTATTATAACTATTTATCTCGTCTCGTTGTATTACCTTCTCTGTTTATTTGACGATTAAACCACAAGCGCATGCCATAGTTTTTGAGGACTAATACTACATAATGCTACATAAAAGTATTTGCTCAATTTTAATCTATTCATAATTAATATTAGCAGATTCCTCACTATTTAACAGTACAGCATTTCAGTCTAGTGGGCAGGAATAATATACAATATATCATTAAAAGTTATAGTTGACTTACCAATCTAATAAGCACCTCTATGTATACTCTCTTTTTTCATTCGAAAATTTTACTCTGTTTTGTTGTCTCTTCATTCATCTTACGCACTTGCTATATTTTTTTATTAATATGCACATTTTTTATTTATCCCCTTTTTTATAGATCTTAGCATCTTTCTACTCTAAGACTATAGGTTAGAACAGTTGTTTATA